TCCCCCCCCGGGGGGGGGGTGATTTCTCTCTCTCTCTCTCTCTCTCTCTCTCTCTCTTTCTTTCTCTCTCTCTCTCTGGCAATCACACACACCCTAAGGCAAAAACCTCTAAGAAAAGTTTAAAAATATAGCACCTCTAAAATAGGACCTACAGTCACTGTCATAAACATTCAAGCATGAAGAGGCAGCTATCAGTTTTTCTGGGTCTTTCTCCTGCAGGGAAAACTGGCCCAGTGCCCTGATTTCACATGGTTTCTAGAGCTCCCTTTATTAGATGCGTTCCTATTCATCAGTGTCTTCCAGAACAGAAGGTAATGTTCTACATGTAATCCGACCTGCACCCTATAGTGTGATTCATGCACTGCTTCTGCTACTCCAGCCTGGGAATTTAATAATTCAGTCTAATAACATCTTCATATCATTGGCCTCAGGAGCATATGCTAAAATACCCAGTTCTTTTTTAAAAAAATGATTCATCGTCAAAGCGAGGCTGCTCCATTCTGTATTTGTAGAGATTTTTGTTCATCTAAATTTAGGTCTTGATTTCTTCTTCCTGAACATTTAATTTCATAATAGTGACTTTGCTTATTCCAATGCAGTCTGTTTTTCTTTTATTTTTTCTAGGTTTTTTTTTGCCAAAGAGTGTGTGTACTCACTGGCGAGAAACAGTGATCTCACTGGAGAGAAACAGTGAGAGAGAAAGTGAGAAATCATGCCCCAGGTGGGATGGCCACCCCACAATCCCTTCTCTTTCATTTTCCTCCTGGGATTTTGGGCATGCCTACACACATCCCCAGCATGATTTTTCATGCTGCCAAGTCTAGGACTCAAACAGCGAGCTGCCACGTGGGAGTCTAGCACCTTAACCACCACACTGCTAGCCCCTATAGTCTGAATTCTTTCCTCTACCCTGTCACTCTTCCAGTTTTATCTCATCTGGAGACTTACAAAACATATGCTTGGGAACCAGCAGTTAGCGTAATGGCTATGTCGCTGGACTCCCACGTAGTCGACCGCGGTTCGCGTCCCAGACCTGGTGGCTTAGAACTCATGCCAGGTGCGTGTGCATGCGTGCCCAAGATCCCGAGAGGAGAATGGAGGAGAAGGGATTGCGGCGTGACCATCCCCCCTGGGGGATGATTTCTCGCTTTCTGTCTCTAATGTATCTCTCTGTCTGTCTGGCAAGCACACGCACCCTATAGCAAAAATCTCCCCCCCCAAAAAAACACACACAAAAAAAACATATACTTTATGGTTCTGTTTCAATTCATTGTTTTAGATTCATAGAACTTTAAATCTGAGAGACAGAAATCACCTCATAGTGCAGCATAGGTAGTTACATCCTCCTTTCCTTTTGTCTTACACACCAGGAAGCTGAGATTAGAGAAGTGAAACTGGAGTAATTTGACCAAGGTAGCTTTGGACAGCCAGTAAGTAGTGGATTCAGGTTATTGGATGTCAAAGTCTCAATGCTTAGGTCACTCCACTGTACCACTTCCTTCCTTGTGAGTCTGGACATTCAAGGCTCCAGTCTCCTGAATCCATTATTGTTTTCTCTGCATTTTTCCTATGGCCCCCCACTTCATCTACTAACATAACAGTTCCAACAGCAACAACAGTGTGTATATGCATGTGCGGACGTGTACACACACACATGCACACAGAGTAGTATGTTAATATGTTTACAGTAGTAGACAGAATTTTTTTACTTTTTCCTTTCCATGTTATTTTTTCAAAATCATTGAAAAAAATTGAACCAAATCCCAAAACATGCTTGGGGAATAATGCTAGATTGTAAGACTTTTTTTTTCCCAGTAAATTCATGCTAATTATGCTTGGTCACACTAATTCCTTATTTTTTTTTGGAGGGGGGGAAGTGCTTATAAAATATATATTCATAAGCATGTATTTAACCTGACAGATTGTTGTCAGGCTTACAAATCTGAGGTGTTATAATTTACTTTTTTTTAAGAGAGATTTTTGCTATAGGACACGTGCACTCATCAAAAAGACAGAGACAGAAAGTGAGAAATCGCCTCTCAGGCGGGATGGCCATGCTGCAGTTCTTTCTCCTCCATTCTCTTCTTGGGATCTTGGGTATGTATGCACACGTGCCTGGCGTGTTTTAAGTCCCAGGTCTGGAACTCGAACCACAGTGAACTACATGGGAGTCCAGCAATATAACCATTACACTATCTGCTGGTCTCTAAAATTTTACTTTCTACCCTCTTAAAAAATTGAAATTGTAGGACGAGACTTTGGTTTGGTGGTTATGGGAGCTGGATCTTACATGGCTAACTGTGCCATTCAAGCCCTGGATCCGGCAACTTGAAAAGCATACCAGGCACATGTACGTACATGCCCAAAATCTTTTTTTTTTTTGCGAGGTTTTCACTATAGAGCACGTGCGCTCGCCAGACAGACAGAGAGAGACATAGAGACAGAAAGCGAGAAATCACCCCCCAGAGGGGATGGTCTCGCCGCAATCCCTTCTCCTCCATTCTCCTCTCGGGATCTTGGGCACGCACGCACACGCGCCCGGCGTGAGTTTTAAGCCACCGGGTCCGGGACACGAACCGCGGTCGACTACGTGGGAGTCCAGCGACATAGGCATTACGCTAACTGCTGGTTCTCATGCCCAAAATCTTGACAGGAGGGAAAAGTGGAGGAGAAGGGATCGTTTTGTACCCACTGCCCATGGGATGGGGGTTGCTTCTCCCTCTCCTCTCTCTCTCTTTGAAAAGCGCATGAGCCCTCTGGCAGATGTAGCAAAAATTGAAACTATAGCAACCCGTCTTCA